AGAAATGTCTTAAAAGAATTAAAAATGTTTCCAGTTTTTAGATAATTATTGGGCTTTACTTTTCTTTTTTTTTTTTTTTCCTAATTCGCAGCTGTGACCAAGACAGATGATTTATTTATTCGCCACTTTAGTTATCTACTCACTCGGATCAGGTTAATTCAATGAATCAACATCAGATTTTCCGGGTTCATATAAGCCTTAGTTTAATTTACTGAATGAATCTGGTCTTGATCTCTGAATGAAATTCTCAGCATTTAAAATTATAATGTGTTATACATTCATCTCCATTTTTTGATTATTTTAGAGAGCTTTTCATTCAATCAGAAGGCAATGAAATTGATTTTACAGATAGTCATGCTGATGAAATCTGCGTAAAGAGAGACGACATAATTTCGCTCTTTTCAGACATAATTTTTGAGCTAATTGAGAACTGTTTCCTAAAACAGTGTTTTATGTTTTTCAAACACTTTCTATGTATGTTTCTATTTTCTTTTATTATAAGTAATTATTCATCGCTTTTTGAGTTTCTTTGGATTTGGATTTTTTACTTTATGGCAAGCTACACTATGGTTATGTATTTAAGTAAAGAGATGCCTTCGTGGAGGATATTCTTTTGGAAATTTGTTCATATATGCGTTAGACATGAAAAAATTCACATATGCTTAGACATGGAAAATCATGAAAACGCATATGGCGGTAACTTGTTCTCCAATATCTGAAACCGGATCGAACTACCAGTGTTCTACAGACTGATCCGTTTGGCTGATGATAGACTTCATCTCTTTTTTGGGAAATAAAAAATTTTTTCTTCACCAGATGTACTGAATATACGGTATAAGAAAAGGCTTTTAATGATTTTTAATTTCATAAATGTTAATTACATTGTTAAAAAATATCCATAATACTTTAAATAACTATATTATAAAAAATATCCATAATACTTTAAATAAATATATTATACAGATAAGCAGTCTCGCAATTCGAAGGATAAGTTAAATATCTTTTGGGCGCGGACAGCAACAGGTGAAAACATCCGAATTTACTAAACTACTTGAAAGCACTACAACAATCAGTGGATTATTACTAACATGATACGACAATTCAGACGGTTCTAGACGTATGTGAAAGGCATGCAAAAATAAGTATTTTGCGTTTAAATGTTTGTAAAGTCATTCGGTTTTTTTATGCTGGAGAAAAAATGTGCAATGTTTTCACCTCAGCACGAATACTCATCCCCCGAATACGCATCGAGTGTGCTTCCAGTTGTACCACAGAGGCACGCAGAAAAGCGAGAGAAAAAATCCTAATACACCTCCCCTTTCAAAGGGAAACTGAGGATGAGGTACCAGTTGCCAAATCCTGGTGGAAACAAATTATCCGCCTTCACCTTTCAGTTCGGGCGCCACTGTAGTGTTACGAGGTTGAAACAGGCGACGTGAAAAATGTTCAGTGCTCTCGTCGGGACTTGAACTCTGGAGCTCTCGAATATGCTTCCAATCACACCACAAGAAGGAAAGAAGGGAGAAAATACCTTTATATTAAAGATAAAATTGTTGACAAAGTTAAAATACTCGCATAAATTATTAAATAACAATATATTAAGTCTTAATTATAGTAGTGCTATAAAATATATAGATCTTCGCTACTCAGTTTGACATTTAACAATTAAACTTAAATTATTAAATCAAATGAAATATTTGAAAAATGAAAGTTAAATAAATAACTCTGTTAGGAACTATACTTTCCAACGTTTTTCGGCTCTTCTCCCATTTTTAAAGTTTTTATTACCTCTTCTCTATTAAATGCAACAATAATGTATTTCTATAGTTTTTTTATATAGGGTCTGAACTGAAACCGTATTGATGGTTTTAAGCAACTATGGCAGTTGCGCTGCCTCGAATTATTAGATAAAATCTGTAAGAAGATTCTTGAACAAAAAGTGATAATGATTAAAATTTTCTTACGCCTTTATTTAATCATAGGAATACACCTGATGAAACATGCATGGATTTTGTTCACTGCGCGGACACTTAATTTGTTAGAAATAGGTATATTGAAAGAGCACGCTATTATTGAATACTAGATATCACTGCAATGTCATCTTAGTTTTTGAAAATTGTACTACTAGGATGTAACGTGCATTTTGTATAATCTTTGGAATAAGAAATGAACCTTATATTGTGTATAAAACTTAGACCAATATATATCAATAATCAACTGGCATGATATAATATAATTATAGTAAAAAATTCATGACTGTAAAGTTTGTGGAAAGAGATGTACATTTTAAGTGCTCGTTTATAAAAGCATATTTAAACAAATAAATTTATCAAGTAAGTTCTCATTGAGCATTGTATTTCTGGACACCTCTTTTTATCCCACATTCTCACCTCTAGATCTCAGTGACCATTATTTCGAAATTACCGCATTTTTTTGACCGGAACTTGGGCATACTATTTCTTGGTTTGTAAATTAACTAACTTCCTGCCGCTTTGTTGCAACAGCTACGATTCTACCTTCTAAATTTCTGCAGAAGACTTTGCATTATGGAATCACTGTTTTATCTTACAGTTTTACTTTATATTGCAATTTCGTTGTTTGTTTTCTTTTCTTACCTTTGTTTAGCAATTTGAATGGCTGTCTGGATAGTGATGGTTAACGAACGATGGCTATGTCAATGAGGAGATCATTGACATACTATGATGTGAATGAGGAGGTTAGCGAAAGCTGGCTATCATACTGATGGGTTTGTATTTGAATCGTGGATAACGCATGCATATTTCAGATTGTACTACCTTTTCTAAATGGGTATTTAAAAGTAATTAACCAGATATTAATCTTAGGAGTCTGGTAGTTAAGAGACGATAGTTTCGACCATTGTAATTTTATTTTCAGGATGCTGCTGAACAAAATTTGACTGAAGATTTGAAGAATAATTCTCATATGGTTTTCCAAATTATCTAAACTATTAGATGAAATGCTGATGAAGAAGCAGTTTTGCGTTAAAGCTGGTAAACTTCTACATAACCCTTTGAAATTCATTAGTATTTGAAATGTCCATAAATCTGACTTTATATTATGAGAGCGGTTATATATTCCTTGGCAGTCCGAATAAGATTGTCAATAATTACTGTATAATTCAGCTGTTTAGAAAAATTGCAGGGAAATTAGTTCGTGTTACAGAATATATTATTTAAGTCTTTAATCTACTTTTAAGTATAAATTAATTTTATCTCTGTCTTTTATTAAAATTTCACAAATAACTTTCAGAAATACTTAATCTGTTTTACAAATTTTAGTCACTAAATGCAAAAGCTCAATTTTAAAATTATTTTTTCCACTTCGATATCAAGATTTGCATTAATCATGTAACTTTTTTTTATTTATTTAAATTATTAGTGAAAATTCTGATGCATTAAATATTTTACTGTAGAATTAAAGATTAAAATAAAACGTTTTTTCAAGACATAAGGAAGGTAACAGGCTTGTGTAACTATAAGGTATTTCTTCCGCCTTCTTAGTATACCTTCGTGGTGTAATGACCAGCACATTCTGCGCGTATTCGAGAGGCCTGTGGTTCGAGTCCCGGCGACGGAATTGCTTATTTTTCATGCCTCCTGCTTCGAAATAACCTAATGTCTCTACAGTGGCGCGCGAATTAAAAAAGGTGGTGGATGATCCCCTAATCTCCAGCCGCCCTAGAGCGGCGTATATAAGGTATTTCTCCCACCTTCTTAGCATGACTTCGTGGTGTAGAGGCCACTCTGCGCGTATTCGAGAGGTCCGTGGTTCGAGTCCCGAAGAAAGCATTGCTAATTTTTCATGTCTGCTGCTTCGAAATAACCTAATGTCTCTATATAACAAGTTCAAACCATGTTTGTAACCAAACCATTCAAAAGAGTGTTTATGACATTGACTGGAGTATGCTCAAGCGGAGAATAAAAAATTACTTTCCGCTTGAGAAGGAAAAAGAAAAACGGATGAAGATAAAAGTTAAAAATAATTATTTACAACCGATGTCTTTATAAAGTAACATTTAGAAGACTATAAATAGTTTGAGGTACATTTAATTTTGTCTCCTATTTCACATTCTCTTGATCGTACTGCCAAATTTATCTATGTTTCTTGTCGCATGATTGATAAATAATTTTTCACTAATTTTAATCTCAAAATTGATAATTATTTCTCCATCTTAAAGTATGGCTAAAACAATATTCTTAAGTTAACTATTAAGGTAGGAAAACTTTACTTATTGATATGAATAGATTTTAAAATTCCTTGGAAGTATTTTAATTTTTAAAAAATTTAATTCACTTTTGAGTAAGTTGTTAATGTGAACGTTTCTCTATGAAATTATGTAACGTTTATACCCTTATTGAGTCCTTCTATCACTGTGTGTCATTAGACTGTGTACTGGAAATTCTAAGGATATGCTCATTTTAAAATTAATTTGCTATATTGCTGTTGAACTGAATTTTATGGTTTAAGTGTGAAAAACGTGATAAATAAAGATAACACACAAAACGTTGAAAAAACCCCTTTGTGTGTAATGTAAAATCTGAAAGCTTTCAAATTTTTATTTCGTATTTTGTGCGAATTTAACACAATTTTTTGTATTATTTATGATCTCTTCAAGTTTTCATAAAAGAAAGAAATATATTGTAAGCTAAATGTAGTTAAATTATATTAGTTAAACATATGAATAAAATTAAACTATTTTTGATGTGCATTTATTGTACTTAACATTGTTCAGTTTATTCCTTGAAAGATAACGATCTGTGTTACTTCTAATAGTAATTTATGGAAACTGTCTATTTGCAATATATGGTAGCTTAAAGGAACAGAATGATTTATAATTTTTAAAGGGCTAAATTAAAACATTTGTAACTTTATAATAGAAAAATAATCATATTACATAAATTTAATTATTAATTTAGATGAAGGTTCGTGTAAATGTTAAAATACATTATATTGCTTTGGAAAATGAAATTAAAGGCAGCTACAGACAACAAAAAAGCTTTTATTTTCTGCTTAACATGTGTTTTGCGTTTGAATAGTACTTATGGAAGAATTATAACTGTAGAAAAGCTTACGAATCAAGCAAATGCAGATTTTGATATAGCCTCTGATTTCTGAAAAAGAAAAAAGAAAAAAAAAAAGATAAATTTTATAAAGTATGCAAACTGAAAGAAAAATTTTAAAATAATTTAACATCCTTTTGTTTTCATGGATAAATCATTGAACTTGTTACCTAAATTCAGTTTTAAAATGTGTATTTTGTAAGATTTTCCTGTAATGGAGCACACAGTAGTAAAATTTCTACAGAAATACAGCTGTCACAAAATGGCTAAAGTGATTTAAATCTATACTTAAAGCGATACCCATGAAATTTCTAAAAGAACATAATAAAAGGATTTTTAAAAAGAACGTACAAATAAATTTAAAGATTACATTTCAGAATATGTACCCAATTAATATGTAAAAATGTATGTAATTAATAATTATTTGCAATTATAAATCATATCCTTTTTCTTCTACAAAAATTCACTAAACTGCGGCAAAGTGATTGCATTAATACTTGAGTACCATAAAAGCTCATGCATTACAATAAAACATCCTTTTTAGTAGAAGATGCATAAGACCTTCTGCGAAATACCATTTATCTTCGACGGTATAAAAGTGTGTTTCTCTACGGGGAAACAAAGTTTTTAAATTATAAAGTGTTTTAATTGAGATTCTTAACAACATTTGGCAACAAGTATCCTTTCATTCTGAAAGCAACGCAAACAGTTTTTTGGTACTTGTCAGTTTTACCAGCGATCAACGGTTAATCACCAAGATTTGGTTGTGTTTGCTATATCATTTGTAGTCAAGTGATAAATCATAACCAAAAGCAAGTAAAAGATTTTAAAATTTCGTTCTTTCACAGTAATAATTCCCACATAGGCTTTAAGTTTGAATTTGAATCCCCCTTCCAGTTGACTCAAATTTCGGTGTTTATAAAGCACAGGTGCATCTTCGCGAATTAAAAGATCCAAAGAAGAATTGGAAAATAATTTTTCCCTATTCCTTAAGAATTTTTTGAAGTTACAAAATGGGACAATTCTGTGTCTCCTACTGGACCGATTGTCGTTTTCCATGTTTCGAAAATGCGGCTTAGGATATATATTAGATTTATATATAGCATTATTCTTACATGGGTATTTTGACATAAAAGACTTTTTCTGAAGTAACATACCAATTTTTTTCCATATTTCGAGTCTACGACTCAAATTTTGCCTAGATTTTAATTTTTTTAATTTTTGGAGAACATTTTATTGAGAAATTTAAAAATTTATCCTGGCGCATTTTTTTCAATTTGCGCCAAGAATAATTCCTTTGGCGAACTTCTTAATTTATAGCAACCTATTTTCCTTTCCTTTTTTTCATTGTACACGAGCGGAGAAAACGTCATCGTTCATATTTTCAAATAATTTTAGCATGCGTAAATCACATTTGGCGTTATTATCACTTATAAAAATATACCAAATTTAGAAACATGCAATATGTAAATTCACGTATATCTTAGGACAATTTGAATAAAAAACTCTCATTTTTTGCAGGTAGGCTTAGAAATATATCTACTTTAAGATGATGGTAAAAATTTTATGGGTTACAATTTAAAATTCTTTTCGAAAAATTTATAAAAACTATTTAAAAATACAAATTTAAAAAATAAATCATAAAAAAAATTTCGAATTTTATTTGAAATGAACGAAATGTAAAAGAAAGAACCAAATAAGTTTAATAAAAAAAAGAGATATTAATAGATATATACAAAATTCAATTAACATGGAGTTGCTAAAATTTGAGAGAATGTTTTGAAAACTGCTCGTGCGATTTTTACAGCTTTGCACTTTGGAATAATTTGAGTAGTAGAATCGAGGTTTGAAAAAAAATTGGTATGTTATTTTAAAAAAGTCCGATTTTGTGTCAAAAATATTTATGTTAGAGCAATACTATATACTATAAATGTCATATACATATCTTATATATGTCCTAAGTTGCGCTTTCGAGACATGGAAGACGCAAGTTAAATTTCTACAATCGGTCCAGTAGAACGGGAGATATAGAACTGTCCCCCGTTAGTTATGGATAAACGTGAAGTAGTAACATCTGCGCTTTTGTCTGATGTAACCTCGATTGATTCTCGAATATTCATGGTTTGGTTTGATGAAAAAGAATGCAAATTAACAGTTATTGATGTACTTTATTCTTAAATTTTGATAAAATGATTAAAATTTGAGTCTACAGAATATTAAGTTGTGGTTTATTTTCAAAGCTAGGGGACACAACCATCAGTTAAGGTGTGTATTAGTGGACACTATACGATGAGCTGAATATGGCCGAAAAATAGCAGAAATCGACGAGTTTTTTTTCTGAAGCGGGAAAACGAAGCAAGTCCAATACTGTTTTAATTAAATAAAGAGGCGTCAATTATTTGTTAGTTCTGCAGGAATGATTGGCGCAATTTTAGGGAAGTTTCGCCATCTTTCATTATTCAGTGGTAATAACTTTGTTAGTTGATCGAATAATATGTAAGTACTTAATTTCTTTTCCCGGATTCAAAATGATGACAGTTTTCAATATTTCCGTCAGTGAAAATGTAGCTGTTCCATTCTTCCGAAAAAAAGAGGTATTTTACCTCCAATCGAATTTCCGAGAACGGGTATGGAATTTTACATCCCGGTAGAAGCCATATGCAGATGTGAAAGAAAAATAAACCTTCGCATCGATAGTAAACTTTAGTCGAGCTTTATATTATTCGTATGGTATTAAAACAGACTCGTTCGGCTCTCCAACACGTTGTGTTGCTCCACTTATGGTGAGTATATTGCCTCAGTTGATAATTCGTTGAAAAAGAGTGGCAATGCCTCAGTTTATCGCGAGTCTATGATTAGAACAGTAGTTTAACGATTTTAAAATAGAAATGAAATTTATAATGAAGCGGTTTGTTGCAAAATTATTGAAATAAAATGTTTATGCCTAAAAAGAAACTTCTTGTCTGTCAATTTCAAGCGAGTCGTCTCATTTATCTGATTTAATGAGTATCTTTAGTCTAAAGTAACCGACACCTTGAGAATACTCGGCCGAATTCATGTGACGGCAATATAAAGATATTTAGTGCCATATTAGCTGCAATTTTTATCCATCTGAAACATAAATTACAATTTTTTAAGTAGTAATTTTTTAACATTTCATTAAAATTGCGGGGTTTTTTTTTTTTTTTTTTTTTTTTTTTTTTTTTGTGTGTGGTGTTGTGTGTGTGTGTAGATAACATCTTAACTTCGCGCAATATTTTCTTTCACGCTTTGGTCTCTCAACAAAATCAACAAGTACCAATTTTTTTTTCAATTTTTCAGGTGTCCTTACCTTTTTTGTTAATTAGATGAGAAACTTTCCATATCTGGGTCCTTTACCAAAAGCCAAACCTTTTCCTAAACCAAACCCCAATTCTTTCTCTTTAGCAATGAGCGGGTAGTATAAGTACCCCGTTTCCAAACCTTTTCCAGCCTCCAGACCTTTACCTAGACCCACAGCGTATGGAAAAGGAACACCGTACAATTTAGAAAGTTCAGCTCCGTACTCCAGACCTAACATTCCGTACGCAGACGTGCAAATCATCATCAAAGCAAGGAATGCAACCTAAAATGAAATAATAAGTATTTGTTTTAATGTTTAAAGCTTACCAATTATAATTTACATCTAAAATATGATTAAAAAATTCTAAAAATATTTAAAAATAAAATTACGATTTTATGATTGAATAAGTATTTTTTACAACACTTCCAGTAAACGGTGATTAGTAATTTATTGTAGCCCTTTTCCAGATTTTGCGAAAATTTTTTTATGCATTCGCCTTTGAAATTCTGTATCCTAAATCCAAGTTTATGGTTTTTGCTCTTAACAGTTCAAAGCAAACTTTCATTTAATATCAATACTTTTTAATTTATCTTATATATACATTTTCAGATATTGATTCATCAATATATATTATCACCATGGCAAAGTAACATATATATAATATTTAAATCTCACGAAATAAGGAAACTAACTTGTAGTTGATTCACATCGTAGACCATGATTATAATCTAAATTACAATCCTTACAGAATTACTTATGAAATCGATTGAGGATTCAGTTTATTTCTGTTATGTGATCACACTGAATAAAGATTCAATTGTTATCTTAGATTTAGGATACGCAACGTAACAGATGTGCTCTGCTTTAGTTTCAATACCTTTTGCTATTCCTGTCCCTAGTGATTATTTAATTAGTTTGAGAAAATCAGCGAGGGAAAGGAGAAATATTTCTACAAAATATGATAACGTAAATATTTTAGTAAGCGTGATCGTAATACAAATAATTAATGACATATTAAACCTTTTCAATATTTCAATTATTACAGATGATCTTCGCAAAATTTAGCATCAAAATAAATTTTGTGTAAAATTCAAAAGAATTCTAATAAAGCTGTCACTAATGCTCAAAAACGTATAAAAATCTAAACAACAAAAAATGCTTTAAGATATTATAATAATACAGAAAACTAAATAAATTATTTTGAATTTCATATTTTTGCATTTAGGTCAAGAATCTTCACATAAGTACGTATTTTAATTTCTTATTTTATAGCATATATTATAATGATAGTGATCTATTTTATGTAGGCATTTTACACGAATGTCTAAATAGATAGTCTTTCAGATTCCTATAATTCATCAATATATTAAAATAAAATTCTAAGGATGGATTTAAATTTAGACATAATGCGTAATAAATAATTTATAAGATATATCAAACCGTAACTTATACTAAAAATACATAAAATATTTTACAATTTTTAATTGCTTTTTCCATTTCTACGTTTTAAAATTATGTAAAGTTATTTGAAAATTTAGAACCATATCTTGGCAACAACGTTCAAATATATCACTGTGGGCAAAACTACTATCTCATGCTATATACTACCAATGCCCATTACACAAAATGTACTTACTAATGTCTTCATTTTACTGGAGAAATCTAAGAAACTGCAGAAAATGTCTGGACACTTTACCTATCGAAATCACAGACTGCAGAGAACGAGAATACTTATATAGTGACTTAAAAGAGTAAAACAACAAAACGTCTACAACGCAATCATCAATTGCTTTTCAGAGGGTAACAAATAATGACATTGTTATATTTTTTACTGTAAATGAGGCGCTAAGGTTCTACTTTGTATTGATGTAAGTAATTGTTTCTTGGTATAATCGATTCATTATTTACTTTTACTTCCAGATCCCAGTAATTTCACGTAATCAACAGCTTTAACTCACACTTAAATAGTTTTTTTAACTTTTGCGGTTTCATGTTTGGAGGCGTCAAATTGTAACTTTCGAAAACACATTTTATACATAGATTTACACTAGACCAGGATGTAGAGTTAATTTTCCAGTTGTATCTCATTTAAACCTTTAATCTTGATGTTCATTTGCTGGTATTTTTTAAGAAAATCTTTTCTTCATCTAATATAGTCTCAATGCTTGATATTAGATGTTTCAGTTTCCTTTTACAGTTATATTCATCTCTTGAACTTTATTTTCAAATCTAATAAATCTCAATTTGGTCATATTCAAATCTTCATTTATAAAATTTCACTTTAAAGCGTTTTGCTAATTTATACTGCTTATTATCTACATAAAGTTACTAAACGAATCGAAGTAACTAAAAACGGAAGCTATTTGATACGTGTGATTTGCTTTAGCTTTTACAGAACATTAATTTTTATCGTATTTCTTGGCGCAAGGAATTTTAATCGTTTCTAGTTTAGCTTTGTAGCAACTCAAGACGAAATGATGTCCTTCGGCATGCTAATACCTATTATATGTCATGAGGCTCTGAGTTGAGAATTACAAAATGTTCATGATTAATAAAGAAGCGTAATCTTATTAGCGGTATTTACGTTTAACCTTGTCCGACTAGAATTGGAAATTTTGTTACGCGCAAAAATTTTTAAACTTACTATCAGAGCCAAGACAAGGATAAGGTAAATGAGGCATTTATCTCAGGTGAACAACTAGAAGGAGGGATTAATTAGCTATGCTAGAAACTCATTTTGCAGGATAAATAATAACTGTTAATTTTCAGCTTTGAAATACATCAAGAAGCAACGTTTTTAAAAGTCAAATTTAAGTAATAAAAATTTATTAAAATTATAATAATTCAAAAGTACTACATTCTTAATAAACTTTTCCATTTTCAGTGCTATACGTCCGCCTGTTTTATTTCCGTTAATTACCATTTTGTAGTCATCTTCTTGGTGAGGATGGAGGATATCAGTCTGCATTTTGCCGCAGTTTAGTGTCAATGAAATAAGTAGAAAATTTTTTTTTAAATATTACTTAATTAATCTACTTCATCACCTTTTGTGAGGTATTTTCTGCCCCCTTTCCTTCATGATGTAATTGGAAGTATACTCGACACGGATTCGTGAGCTCTAGTGTTCGAGTCCCGGCGAGGGCAATGAAAATTTTTCACGTCTCCTACTTCAAAATAACTTATGACTCTAAAAGTGACGCCTGAACTAAATCAAACTTGTGATCAAAACCTGTAATAGTATGTAAAGCTACACTGTTCATAGAGGGATTAAACTGGGTTCAATTTCCGATAGACGAATTGTTTGCTTTAGTAGTCTTATAGTTTTCTCGATGTTTAACGTAAATCCGCCAGTTTCCTTAGAAAACCCTCCGCAGTGCCAATCCCTTTCTTTAGGTAGATTGTCTTAGTAGGCTTTGTCATATTGAATTAAATAACTGAACAAATGTAATAGGTGGATAATCATTAACATCAGAAAAGATAATATTTATATATGAAAATACAGTCTTGGGAAAGTTTAGCTTTAACGATGAACTTGGAAGAAAAGGAAAAAAAATAAATATTAATAAATTAGGTAATTAGATAATAAGAGAAAAATATTTTTTCACTGTAGAAGTCAAATAAATGATAGATATTTTAATTAGGTAATTAGATAATAAGAGAAAAATATTTTTTCACTGTAGAAGTCAAATAAATGACAGATATTTTAATTTCAAAAAAAAAAAAATACCTGGATATATGAAGTGTTAAAAGAGATATTTTTTTATTTGTAATTTTTAAGTGGTGGAATATTGATGACATTAGATTTAGGTAATTAAAGGAGTACTCCACCTCGAAAACTTAACAGCAACTTATAATAGCGCCCACACGGCCGAGCGGTAAAGTCTCTGAACACTGGTAGTTGGTCTAAGATCGAACCCGGACGGCGGCTGCATGAGTTTCGTGGTTTCTCAGTGTACGTGTATACACCGTTTCACTAGAAGCCTGCAAGACGGCATCCCTTCCTTAGGAGATACCCTTGTCTTTACATAATGGACCTCTGGAATACGAGCCCAGCGTGCTGACCACTACACTACGAAGGTAGGCAAAGAAGGCGGGAGAAATACCTTATATATTCCCCATTTTAAAGGGCGACTGGGGTTTTTAGGGGACCAATTCCCCAAATCCTGGGTGTGGAGAATCATCATCCACTACCCTTTTAGTTCGGGCGCCACTGTAGAGTCATTAGGTTATTTTTTAAAACAGGAAATGCAAACTTGGAGAAATGATGGTTTGTTATACTGCTGACAACCCTAACAGTAATTTTAGTGGTGTGAAGTGAAAGAGGAATGAAAATGTGTTCAGAAAAGTTCAAAATGATTTGTCCAACATTCTTAGAATTCTCAGTACAGTCTTAAATGTTGGCGTTGTAGAGACATTAGGTATTTTTAAAGAAGCAGGAAAGATGGGAAATGAGCAAAGGCTTCGCCGGGAATCGAACCACGGACCTCTGGAATACGCGCCCGGAGTGCTGACCACTACACTACGAAGACATGCTAAGAAGGCGGAAGAAATATCTTATAAGCCTTTGACAAGATTTACCTGTAATGGGCTTATTGGTAATCTCATGTAGAAAGGCATTTTTCTCTTTCTCATCCACATGCTTGCTCAAAATCAGAATTTAGAGTTAAAAATCAACGAAATATTCTTTGCCATCAAGCCAATTAGAATTGAAGTTCCCTAGAGTTTTGTTTCAGAGTCTCTGTTTCTTACTTTCTATATTAATCACTTTTCGGCTAACTCTGGTATTCCGATAAGAATGTATGCAGATAATCTAAAGATCCCTACGAACTCTTTAACAGCACAACGTGCAATTCCCAAACTACAAGTAGTCGTAGCAGAGTTGAATGCTGATAATCAAAATAGAATGAAAGTTAAATCAATCAAAAGCTCAGCTATTTTATTTCGTTCACACAAAATATGGCAACGTGTGTGACAATAATTTTATTTACAATAGTTATATCTTCTCTCATGTCACATGTCTTAAATGCATCTGAAGAGGAAAAAAAACATAGTGTATAAAGTGACTGTTTTTGTTGAAGCTAAATATGGGTAATATGCAAAATTCATACACATATAATGAAAAGATTAAACGTTCAAGGCCATATGACCCATCAGTGGCTGGATATTGCACTTTGAACGTTCAAATCAATAATTGGTGAAACCCCTTGGCGACAATGCGGGCTTGTAAATGTTGAGATAAGAAGTTTTAAAGATTCCAAATCTCCTCCTGAGACACATTTTGCCAGCAGTTCCTCAGTTGTTGCTCCAGATCTGTGATACTTGTATTTTAGGATACTCGAATCTTGCGGCCTAATTCCAAAAGTGTTCGATTGGCGAATTCTCTGTTGGCCTTGCTTGCCAAGGAAGACAATCAAAAACTTGGAGACAATGCAAAGATATACGAATTGTAAGGCATATGTTATTGAGCAACGCCTTTTGAGAAATGCCTCCGAGACGGAGTGTCATGAACAGCAATGCAAACAGCTGTAGGATGTCATCAACATACCATTGAGCTGTTAATGTTAAAAGAAATATATAGGATGGCTAGAGTTGACCTGCTTTCGTGAGAGCTAGCCTTCCCAACACACCATCACACCAAGGGTAATGGCGGTGTGCCTTTACAAAACAAAAGCTGGCTGAGACAGCTGGCCCTGGCCCATCTTCACACGTACCATATAGTCATCTGCTCCAAAATTGAAGCGGGATTCATCCTAAACGCTACGCGATGCCATTCGGCTGGCAGCCATGGTGATCGACTACGACACCACTCCAGATGACTCAGTCGATATTGGATGCTGTAGGATTAAAGGTAGACGCCTTAAATGCCGCCGTTCGATTGTACCTTGCAGAAATCATTGTTGCCAGCACCTTTGCACAGCCGTGTCTGTACGGTATAAGCGACGGCCTATTGTTAGGTACGACTAGTCCACTTCAAGCATCTCTACCATGCGACTACGTTCGAAGTCGTCCAGTTGTCTATAAAGTCTTCGGGGACGTCATAACGGTATTGTTGGTTGTTTCTCCAAGGAACTCTAACGTCAACAACTAAAAAAGATAAACCGACTATAACTGTTACCTGTTTTATGCAATACTAGTTACTCAGTTGAA